TGTTGAGCTGAGCTGTGTTATTGAGTTGTAAGTTGATTAAGTTGTAATGATGAGTTGTTGATCACTAGGACTAGGGGAGATGTTTTCAAAGTTGCTCATCCCATTGTGTGGATTGAGATAGTTGTGCTGCTTAGAGAGCCCAATTTGTTGAAAACCCTCCTTGGGAAGTTGTGCCTCGGAGTGGACGTTGTGATGTTCTCCTCTAGGACTTAGTTGGTCCCATGTGTGGGCAAGGTCGAGGCACACATGTACAAAGCAACCACGGTATAGGGGCCAGGTCAAGCTATACCAATTATAAGAGGCCAATTTGAGTAAAGTACGAAGTTGGGAACTTAGTTCCTAACCAAGTATCGGAGGGTTGTAGTATTTGGAGGATAGTCGGTAGGCTAATCTCATAGATGGCTTAGTTGAGCTAGCTAATGTCATGGTAGGCCTAAACCCAGTTGTTCTATCCTAACATAGTATTATACTTCCTTGTTTAAGTAGCAAAGTCTGAGAAATCGTTATCGTGCTGTGGATTGGTATCCAAATTTGTTGTTTACCTAGCACGCCCAAAAATGTTCTTTGTTGTCGATTCGGTAGGACCTAGCCACTTAAACTGCTCACCCATGTTATAGGAGATCTCTGACTTGAAATGCATGACGATGCATAAGTTGTTGATGAGTTTATTTGTTGATTGATATGAGTTGTATATATGTTGTTGTGTTGTTAAGCTGTGATTGTGTTGTATGTTGACCTTGTTGAGGATGATGATAGTGTAGTTATGTTAAAAGTTGCTTATTTGTATACAAGTTGATGATGATGCTAGCATTGCTAGATTACCTGTGTTGTAAGTTGCTTTTAAACATGTGTTGTTGAGAGTTGTGTAATACATGTGTTAGTTGTTGTTATAATGAATATGGTAACTATTCCAATGGTTGTACAGTAGTTGCGTTGAAGTGTTGATATAGTGTTGATATGTTGAATCAAGTTGAAACGATGTTAAGATGTATAGTATATGTGTTGTTGTCTTCTATGTTGAATGTGAAGATGATTATATAGTTGGCGTGTTGCTTATTTAATTATTATGAGTTGTTTATTGTCTCTAGCTTACCCTTGCATGTTTCCATGTGGTTTGGACTGCGATGATCATACGATATATGGGAGTAGGGCAGGGATAGGCTGGTAGATAGCCGCTAGAGGCCACAAGAGATGCCTAGAGTTGGATTTTTTTTTGTGGGCTACCTTATAGTAGCATATTTTGTTGTATATAGTTGGTTGTGTTTTGTTGCGTGTTTCTCATCTTGTGTTGTTATTATTTTATTTTACTATGTTTGATATATATATATATATATATATATATATATATATATATATATATATATATATATATATATTTCAGTAGTATGTAGTGTTGTTCCGTAGTGTGACGGCCATGGCGGGGCGTTACCATATATATATATTGTCTTGTAGAATTTGCTCGTTGCAAGTGTCCGTTGAAGCAGATATAGTCGTTCATGACTAACTTGATCTCTTATTTAATGCTCAAGGTCTTGCATTAAATGTTGCTTCCTGTTTATAGACCTTGCGTGAAATCTTTTTTGCCTTGTTAGCAACTATGTGTGAATTTAGCAGAGACCTAGGAACCTTTTTGTCCTTTTCTGGTCACGTCGTTATCTGAAAAAGTAATGTATTTTTTCTGACACATTCATGTTTTTGCTTTTGCGTGCTTTTCTTCTTCTTCTTTCTTCATGCTATCATGTTGAGAGCATTTTAGTGATTATAGACGATGCCTTGATTTTTCCTTTGAGACTTGATTCTTTAAGTGCTTTCGTGGCAATCTTCGTCTGCATCTGTTAGTCCTATCTGTCTCAGTCTATGATTTTTGTCTGAGCATTTGAGTTTAATGCTTTGACTTTCTTTTGATCTGGTCAACGTTACAGATGGACAGACTTTGTTCTTTGTCTAACATGTCTTTCAGTTTGTGTTGTCCTTCGTCTTATATGTTATTTAACTTTCTTGTGTTCTTTGATTCATGCTTCGTCTAATTCCTTATGTTGCACTAGAGATTGTTCCTGACACACCTTCGTCTGATATTGGACTCATAGTCATCTGGTTCACATATTGTACTTTGTCTACTCAATTAGCTTGATTCATTTGATTCTCATGATGTGCCTTGCCTTGACTGTTCTTTTATCAGAGTTAGCCATCTGGTTTCATCTAATGTTTAACACATCTTTGTCTTGTTCCAGGTTTAGCCCTGTTTTGGCTTTTCATCTGATGCTTCAGGGTTTCGACTTGTAATAGACCTCGTCTGGTGTTTGTTGAATGTTCTTCTATTTTTTATTAGACCTATCTTATTGCTTGACCAACCATCTTTGATTTTGTTGTTTAGTTATTCGTCCAGGCTTTATAGATCTTGTATTTAAGGCATTTGATCTTGCATTAAATGTTTGCTCGCTGAATCTGCGTTACACGAAGTCTTTTGTACCATTTGTTTACTTCTATGTCTGACTTCAATCATGACCCAGACATCTTTGTACTTTCCTGGCATTGTAGCTGCAGAGACGTTGTCTTTTACTGACTGATAGGTGTACTTGTTCTAACATATGCAGCTTGACTTGTGGATAAGCGCTAGTCTATTTTTCTCTTCTCTCTTCTCCTATTTTTGATGACTTCATGTGTTCTTCTAAGAGCGTGGATGATGGAATCATACTTTGGAATGCAAGAGGTGACACACTCAAAGATCCAAGAGGAGTGGGCTAGACATGGAAGATTGGGCCAGTTAAGGTCCAATAGGCCCTATGGGCTTGGAAGGCCCAAATCAAGTTTCAACATGGGCCTATCTTGTTACGAACATTCTTATTATATTTTGTTAGCATAGTTTGAATATATTTTGGTCTTGTATTTTGGACCACATAGAGTAGCATTTTAGGTTTTAGGCTTGTTGGGCCTAGTTTTGGGTTTCATGGGCCTTTGGGCTTTTGGTACCCAATATTGGGCTCATTTTCATTCTTGTAATTTTTCCTTTCCATTGTATTTGATTGAACATTGTAATTAGGTCGTTAGAATAGGATTATGCAAGGATTACTTAAATAGGTAAATTAGATTAAACTAGGTTTAATTTGGAAGTCATTTAAGTTACATTTGAGTCACATGTTTAGCACCATGGGTGGCTGAACATGTGCCACTCAAATTAACCCTAAATAACTCTCAAATCAAACCTAAATGCACCTTGGTACCTAAATTTTCGGACTAGCACATGGGAGCCAAAATTTGAATTCAAATTTCAAGTTTGAATTCAAATTTTGGGCGCCACATGTAGCCTTTGATTTAGGCGCCCAAAGAGTGCACATCCGGAACCCTACTTAAGTCTTTCTTCTACACATTGTAATCACTTTTGAGATTAATAAAATTGGAGAGCTTATTCAGCCCAATTTTCCCTTGAAAGTCACCGTGAGAGAGCTACACTTTTAGGAATCCATTAGGTTTTCCTCCTCTTTGAAGTGAGCTTTCCCTTGAACCTTAAGCTTGGATGCTTCCATCCAAGGCTTAAGCCTTCTTCCAATCCATGAATCATCCTCCATCTAGTGTTCATCATTGTGGTTTCCATCTCCTTGAAGAAGATCCGAGCAAAGGTGAAGCTAAGGAGAGGTTCATCCATCACTTCTCCCACCTTCTCCATCAGTGGATGATAAGCAGTGCTTCTCGTTGTGATTTAGTAGACTTTAGACGCAATTCAACATTCTTCGTTTTTGTCTGTATATTTGAGTCTCCATCCAAAAGATAGATTTTGACTTTTTCTTTCGTCTAGTCAGCTGTGCAGACTTTTAACTCCATCTAGGATGCTTAGATTTGTCCATCGTTATATTTTTTTTTTGTGCTAGACCTGATTTCGTTTGATCTCTTCATCTGATGTCTTGGTTTTGGTGTAGAAGGTGGTACATGCATATTCTCTATTATTCATCTTGTCTGTACTTATGTTTTTCTGAAACACTAACACATTTGTTAGGAATAATAAAGTGCATTATATTTGTCTCATTTAAAACTTTATTAAGAATTGTTTTGTCTGACTTAACACACACACACATATATATATATATATTGTATTTTTTTTTTAAATCTTTTCATGCATAGAATGAATCCGAGTGCTTTTGTCCTATTTTTTAAGTAGCCAAGAAAAGAAAAGGTGAAATCTGAATTGGATGAATGTTTGTTTCTTCGAACGGAAATGCCGACATATAAATGGAATTGATAACATGCCTTAATGTCACGTTTTTCAGACATACTAAATAGTAGTATGGGGTCCGGTTTCCATAGCCCGATATATGTTTTCGGCGCGGATATATCAAGCTTTAAGCCCTATAACTCAACATTGTATTAACTTTTATAAATTTTATTTTCATTAGAAAAGATTTAAACATACTCGTTGGTATTTAAATAAAAAAAATGTCGTATATTATTCTATGAATATGATAATTTCACGACATAAAAAAAATTAAAATCCCTGTAAAGAATTTCATCTTTGTTTGTGTCATTCCTAGTTTTATTCTTACACATTTCTTTTCATCACCCAAGTTATCATCAAGGCTAACCGGTAACATGAGGTGCTAATTTAATATTAAGACAAAACTTGGACACAATCAATATTTAACTACATATAGAATTAGTACTCTCCAGTTAAAATTAAAATTTAATCACTTCCATGAAGTAGTGCACTTAATTTTCCCCATTAATTAACTGATCCATCATAATGGAAGAAACATTAGTACCATTAATTGCTAGTGCACCTAAACCACGGTCAAACATCGAATAACAAAGGAAAAGTACCAAACCAGTGACACGACGCTAGATCG